AGATGACAGCAAGACATCACCTGGCTGTTGACGTCAGCTCCAGCCTGAGTCAGCCACACCACGCAGTGAGGATGTCCTCCAAACGCGGCCGTGTGCGCCGGCGTCTGGTTGAAGCGGCTGGTCACGGTGTTCACCTCACAGCCCATCTGGACCAGGCGCACCACACACTCCAGCTGTGGGCCAGGAAACACAGAACACAGGCCTATGGTGAGACCACTGAGACCACCACAGACTACCAGAGGAACAGGAGGCCTGTGGTATCATCTAGGGAGAGAAGTGGAGACGGGTCCACATCAGTAAGGTCCTCTCACACATAGGTCCTCTTCAGGGGGGGACAGAACCTGTTCTTCCTGAGGACTCTGATCCTTCAGAGTGAACCAGATCTTAGGTCAGTCTGTAGGAGCCCTAGAGCTGTGTTTTGAGCCTGAATAGCCATTGGCTCTACTGGAACCAATGGAAATGCTGCAGCCCGTGACGTTATTTATTGATTTTTTTTTCAACTATGAAAACTTTATTGTACAGTTACAATCAGACACAACCGTAAAACGTGCAGTGAGAGAAGAAAAACGGCGGGCTTCACTCACAACATATGAATCTTTAGACCCGGTTCACGTGAGAACAATGACCGTGATTACCGTGGACGGAAGTTACATGAACTAACCGTAACTAACATGAACTACTAAGATGACCAGGGCTCATGTTTGACTAAGAGTAGGACCCTTAAAATACCACCTAAATGTTTCACTAACCTGTAGCTGCCGGTCTCGAGGTGACCTACCTGTCCATAGTGAGCAGCCCAGTGTAAGGGGGTCCATCCGTAGCTCGAGTCCTCCACGGTCAGATGAGACCGGTTTGAGAGCTGCTGGATCAGAGAGACCAAAGCTCCGACATCTCCATCCCGACATGCGCGGTGGACGGGAAACCGGTTGATAAACAGCTCCTCAGTCGACACATCGAGTCCTGGTCCCTCCGACATCAGTGAGACGTTTCTGTCCAGAGTCCCGGTCCCTCAGACCCAAACGGTTCAAACACAAAGGAAGAGGAGATAAGCGCCTCTTCAGCCTGGAGAGTCACAAAACCCGGACTGGATTCTGGCAGCGGGACTGGGATCAATCCTGGGAGCACAGGCACATATCGAGGCTTTTCATTTCGGTCTTTCAGACGGTTTGGGGTCAAAACTGGTCGGGAACACGGCCCGCCCTTGTGCCGCCTAGAGGTTGGAGGGAACCTTTGAAGTTATACTCTCATGTAAGGAACATTTTTAACTTCTTTCTGTCTTAATGTTGGCTTTAAATAGTGTTAGGATGCTAGTTTGACTACACGGAGGTGCTAAACAATGTATTCATGCTACGGACAATGCCTCCAATCCACAGGAACAGCAGAAGAAGACAACTAACACACCACCAGAAAGATGGCCGCGTCATTGGGCGGGAAAAGGCTGGCTCTGAGTCATGGCGGAAAGATGAAAGCAAGGAAACAGGTAGGATAGCATGACTCAGCAGGAACCAGTCTGTGGTTATAACCATTGGGTATAACCTGACATTCTAGCACAGTGCAGCAGTCCAGTACTCCGATCCTAAACTAACAGGTGAACAAAAAGCCCACCGAACAAGAAAGAATGAAGGAGGGCTTCATAGGCCTGCCTGGCCTATGTGACAGTGATGGATTTGAGTACTTCAATCCAGTTTTTGTTTAAATTTTTGTTTCACACAGAAGTGTATCAGTGTCCTATACTGTATATTTGATTAAAGGGATTACTCAACCAGTTGAAGATGTGAGTTTAACTCTTCTATCTATGAATAGAAAGCTCAGATTAGAATGTGAGGCATGAAGAATGAAGTATAGCATCTGGTCAGTGTTGTTAACTTAAGTGTAAACTGTGGACCAGACAGTTCTTTAATTATTGTCACTCTTGTGTATGGATCAGTGAAAACTGTACAACAATGTTATTATCATTATTTATTTGGTGGGTGGGTCGGGGCAGACCTTTTTAAAATGCATCTTTTCAGATCCATGCATTGAGATTGATCTCTTCTCCTTCAGGACGGTTTTGTCCGAGTGAGGAAAAGTGATCTGGAGAAGTTAACCGCAGAAGTCATGCAGCTGAGGGACTTCCTGCCCAGAGTCCTGAATGGAGACCTGATTGAAACGCTGCATAAAGCTCGAACAGCTCAGACAAGTACGCTTCTAATGAACTAACCTTAAGGACAATACTTAAGTACGGTGAATGTGTGTGTGTGTGTGTGTGTGTGTGTGTGTGTGTGTGTGTGTGTTATCTAGTGATTGTAAGATAGGAGGAACTGGAGCCACTATAAAGACAATAACTGGTCTGAGAGCAGTCAGCTGAGAGGCTGTGTGCCTCTGTTCTCTACTGAGGGGGTTTACTGGATGAACAGTGGGACAGGATCATCATGTGATCACTAGCAGCAGAGCTAGATGTGCTCTTCTGAGTCCTGACTACGAGTGAGAGCTTTAACACTACTGAAACAACAGAGGCTGACCCCCTATGGATGACATCATGTTTCATGAATGCACCTACTGGACTTACTGGCTTACTTCATGGTTGACAAGTGACCATGTCTGAATCAATGAATCAGTGAACAGGAGGAGGAATAACTTCAATGAGAGAAGTGAAATGGAAAGTAAACTATTCACAGTTAGCAGCTACTTTTAGCTTCAGGGAACTTCTTCATCAAACACATGGCTTTATATAGTCAGGTAATGTCCATTTCATTTCTACAGCCCAATATCATAAACATAGATTAGCTTTACAGTCTGTCCTTAGAGCCTTGACTGAGATCAGGAAACCCCTCACAGGACGGACAGACGTGTGATAGATGTGTACTAAAGTTACAGTTTAGACAATCTGTATGACAGAATCATACACAGAAGACAGAGCTGAGCCACACATGGAGACCTGGAAGAGGACGGACTACACAAAGACACAGGACACAAAGCTCAAGTACATTATCCTCACACACACACACACACACACACACACACACACACACACACACACACACAGAGGGAGCTACCTGTCCAGCTCACTCTTTAACATCATCTCTAGAATGTAGAGCGAGTACAGGTACTGTTCCTTTATAGCATATAGATATCACTTGACCTGGTTCACTGGAAACCTACAGACTGTGTGTGTGTGTGTGTGTGTGTGTGTGTGTGTGTGTGTGTGTGTGCGTGTAGTGAAGGAGCAGCTTGCACAGGAACAGGACCAGTTGCGACAGGAGTGTCAGCACCTTCAGTCCCGGTTGGATGCAGTGCAGACTGAGTGTCAGAAAGAGAGAGAGGTAGCATCATGTTTGTGAGCTGCACTCTATGAACACGTGCATCCTGCCTTTACTCTTCCACTGTGCTGTAGTAGCATGACTCCCTGCTGTGTGTGTGTGTGTGTGTGTGTGTGTGTGTGTGTGTGTGTGTGTGTAGGAGAAGCTGCTGTTGCGTGAGCAGCTGTGGCAGAGCGGAGCAGAGCTGCAGCAGCAGGCGGACTTCTGCTCTGGTCTGGGATCAGCAGCTTGCAGTCTGCTGTGGAGCTGCTCTGCCAGTGAGGACACGGTCTCACACTGGCTGGCTGATGTGAGTCGTCTGTCTGTCTCTGTGTCGGCTCTCAGGGTTCCACTGTGGATGTCTGACATCTGATGGCTGGAGATGTATTGTGTGTGTGTGTGTGTGTGTGTGTGTGTGTGTGTGTGTGCGTGTGTGCGTGTGTGCGTGTGTGCGTGCGTGCGTGCGTGCAGGGGAAGCTGCAGTCCTTCCTGCTTGTAGCTGCCCAGACTCTGGAGAGCTTCGTCAAGTCTCTGGATGAGGAGGCCAAAACTCAGACTGAGGACCACAACTCCCAGGAGCACCAATTTGTGCTGGCTCTGGCTGGAACCATTACGAGTGAGTTCATTAAAGATGATCCACAGACCTCATGTTTACAGCTAAGGTGTAAAACTGCGGTCATGACATTGTGACCATATCAAACAGACTGTGGATACATCCCAAGTCTCTTAATTGCATCCCCGTTTCCCTCACTTGCGTCCTTTCCTTGCGTCTTAGTCCCTCCCACCAGGGATGCATGGAGAGACGCAAGGAAACCATGTGATGAGAGAGGAAATGAGGAAATATGTTTTAAGAGACATGAGGATCAGCTGTTAAGTAGTTACTGTACTTAACAATAGTAACTAATAATACTAATAACTAATAAATACACACAGTAGTCATCACTGTAGAGGTGTGTTCTCTCTGTAGTCTGTTACCTCTTTAACAAACTGTGTTCTGTTTATGAGCTCAGGATTGATTTCTACCGGCAGAATGCGTTTGAGTTATTTATGACTTAATCTGTCTGTACGTTTTGAAATTGTGACTGTGACGTCATTATTAACCCAGAATATGATTATGGTTTCTCTTAAATGCTATAACTCATCAAACCAAACACTCAGGAATGATCAGCCTCACTGAATGAAATGATGATAAATTATGTAAAAAGCTCTCTCTGACTGTAATTGTTTCCATAATTAAAGTTATTGAGGGAAATATTAGATCATGAAAAGACAAATCTTTCTAATAAATGAAGAAAGTTGTTTGTGGTCCTTTTGTTGTTCAGACCTACAATAAACATTTATTTAAACCAGATGTTGAATCAGAAAACTAATCAAATATGAAGCTTGAGTTTAATCTGATCTGTCTTCACTCTGGTATGAAACTCCAGTGACAAAGAGGGGGCGTGTCGGCCGTTAAAACACTTCCTGGGGTACATCTCAAGTCTCTTAATGTCATCCCCGTTTCCCTCACTTGCGTCCTTTCCTTGCGTCTTAGTCCCTCCCACCAGGGATGCATGGAGGAAGCCATGCGAGGAGAGAGGAAACGAGGAAATATGTTTTAAGAGACATGAGACGTCCTTTCCTCAGTTGCGTCATGTGAAGCGACGTGTGTTTCTGATGACGGAGGATCAGCTGATCACAGCTGGATCAGCTGTCAGTCGGCTTTAACAGCTGGAGAGACTTTTGATAAGTTAGTGTCTGTTCACATGACCACTGTACTTAATAATAGCATATAATAATACTAATAACTAATAAAGACACACAGTAATCACCACTGTAGAGGTGTTTCTCTCTGTAGTTTGTTAACAAACTGTCCTGTGTTCTGTTTATAAACAGGATCCATTTCTACCGGCGGAATGCGATTGTCTTATTTATGAATTATTTGCGTCTGTACGTTTTGAAATTGTGACTGTGGCGTCATTATTAAATAACCCAGAATATGATTATTGTTTCTCTTAAATGATAAAACTCAAACACTCAGGAATGATGTAAAAAGTGTTGTTTGTGGTCGTTTTGTTGTTCAGACTACAATGAACATTTATTTAAACCAGATGGTGAATCAGAAACCTAATCAAATATAAAGCTTGAGTTTATTCTGTGATCTGTCTTCACTCTCGTGTTAAACTCAGTCAGTCAGTCCGATGGGCTGCAGCGTCCAATCACATAACTGATGAACAATGAGGGGGCGTGTCGGCCATTAAAACACTTCCTGGAAGTCTGTTCTCGTGGTTCCTCGCTCATGCTCCTCCGAGGTCCCTCCTCTCTCCTCGATCCTCTCTCCTCCGAGCCACATTAGAGCTTTGAGGCGGCCGTCAATATGGCGGCGCAGAAACAACTTCCGGTTCAAGCGAGGATCGAGGAGCGAGGAAACGACAATTAAGAGACTTGAGAAGTACCCCTGGAAGTCTGTTCTCGTGGGTCGTCGCTCATGGCTCCTCAGAGATCCCTCCTCCTTCCGGTTCAAGCGATGAAGGAGGAAATGACAAATAAGAGACTTGGGACGTACCCTGTGTTGACAACTTAAAGTCAGTGGTGTCCATTCTTCCTGCAGGACCTGAATGCAACATAAACACTTTCTTTCCCATCAATCAGACGTAGCAGCAGTGTCCTGTGGCCGGGACTTCCTGTCCTGCTCGGCCCGTGTCCTCCTGGACACTCTGATGAGGCTTCTGGAGCTGATGATGCCTCGTGTCTTCCCCAAACTGAAAGTGTACGTGAAGCTGTGCTAGAATCCATCACACAGAGCTCTGGTCTCATTGCTGCTGAGGATCTCCAGCGTAGAATGAACATGGACATGAATAGAGACATTTAGACTTTACCAATATGTAACATAAAGCTGCATCTGATCCATAAAACATCAGAGCAATGACAGATGCTCTGTACACACAAGCTGAGCTTTCTTCTGAATCATTCAAATCCTATTCTTTTGATTCTGTATATGATCGTGACATTGTTGCGTAGCCTCAACATGGAATGTGTAGGTTTCACCTGAATACATCTTCTTTTATAAATACATTGTGTGCTCATGGGTTTATGGCGTTATTATCCAGCTATATGGATTAGTGAATGAATTTTTATTTTTATTTGAGGGTGTACACATTTTTCGGGGGTGATGATGTCGTCAAATATGACAACAGGCATTGAAAGCTTTATTGGAAAAGTTCAATGGATGCTTTGATTGTAAAACACCATGTGATCTTTACAGACCTGTGGGGGAGGCTTATGTCCATGTAGGACACACAAACACTAGGATGCTTTTACACAGAAGGAGGACTTGCCCCTGAATACATCACATGGTGGTCGGTTGTAGAGGTTTAGCTTCTAGATTTTGGGCAGTAGGTGTCAGTGCTGTACTTGTGTTTGCTGCAGGTTGATGCTGATGGCTCTGTATAACGTCAGCATCAGTGTTAAAGGACTGAAGTGCATCAGTGAGAACCCAGGACTCCTGTCCCTCATCTGGACCCTGCTGGACGGTAAGGAGACCACACACACACGTTAATGAGCATAATGAGGCTTCAATCACTCATTAACTGTCTATTCTAACAGTATGTGCCTGCTAAACTTTATTCAGAATCTCAGACTCTACACTTCTGTAAGTTACTATAGCAACCTAAAGCTAGGGTTGGTATCCTTGAAAAACTATGAAGAGTTTAAGATTTTAACGTGATCCAACCGAAAAGCTCTATTCCAATGATTGAAGCTAGCAGCACTAAATCTAGAAAGAAAGACTCAAAGTCTTCAACACTGACAGTCCGTGCCTTCAGACCTCCCTCCAAAGACACGCCCCCAGAATGATCATTATGAACATAAATAATAGCCAACATGGTTATTCTCACTACTCACAGGTAGACAATAGACAGGTAGGCAGTCAGACTGTTACATTTGTACAAAATTAAATTATTGGTGGAGCTTATAGCGGTCTTGTCAGTGTCAGACACCAGATGTTTGATTAATTGATTATTTTGAAGTCATGAATATTTGATTCATTCATTATTATGATGTCATGAATATTTGATTCATTCATTATTATGATGTCATAAATATTTGATTCATTGATTATTATGATGTCATGAACATTTGATTCATTGATTATTATGATGTCATGAATATTTAATTCATTGATTATTATGATGTTATAAATATTTGATTCATTGATTACTATGATGTCATGAATATTTGATTCATTSATTATTATGATGTCATAAATATTTGATTCATTGATTCTTATGATGTCATGAATATTTGATTCATTGATTATTATGATGTCATGAATATTTGATTCATTGATTATTTTGAAGTCATGAATATTTGATTCATTGATTATTATGATGTTATAAATATTTGATTCATTGATTATTATGATGTCATGAATATTTGATTCATTGATTATTTTGATGTCATGAATATTTGATTCATTGATTCTTATGATGTCATGAATATTTGATTCATTGATTATTTTGATGTCATGAACATTTGATTCATTGATTATTAGGATGTCATGAATATTTGATTCATTGATTATTTTGATGTCATAAATATTTGATTCATTGATTATTATGATGTTATAAATATTTGATTCATTGATTATTATGATGTTATAAATATTTGATTCATTGATTACTATGATGTCATGAATATTTGATTCATTGATTCTTATGATGTCATAAATATTTGATTCATTGATTATTAGGATGTCATGAACATTTGTTTCATTGATTATTATGATGTCATGAATATTTGAACACAGTATCAAACATACTTTTAAAGAAGAGTACTAACCGTACTTTAAAGTAGCACTGAGTTGTAAAGTACATGATCCACTCAGTTTGTCTAGTCCTGGTGAGACAGTCGTGCATTAGCCTTTGTTCTTCTCTTTGTTTCATTCCCACAATGCAGTGCAGAACGCTGCACATCGGCTCTCTGTATGCTGCATGAATGCTTCACCATAGCCAGTCTGGTTCCTTGTCTTTCATTTGGAATCTGAGTGAAGATTCCTTGCTACACATTCTGGATACAACATGGACACAGCTGCAGGGTAGCGCTGCTCTCATGAAGGAGGTCCAGGAGCTAGCATGGCTAGCATGCTAACAAACATGTTAGTTATATAGCTTATTTTCAAACACTTTGCTGTCACTTACAATAGAAAAGCTTTGGTTATTTCCCCTGCAGTAATAGCACCAGAATATGAACAAACAATGTGTCCTGGTCTACCCGCTCAAACCAGCGTCATGGGCCACAGATCAACCCCATTGAAAGAGCATGTTCCTACCTGCAGCTAAGCTAGCCAGCTAAGCAGATGCTAAGTAACACAGCAATGTGACCACAGCTCTGTTTAATCAGGTTAATGTCAGCAGGAGGAGCTTGCTGGTCTGAGAAAAGGATTATTGAGGGACCGTGAACGAGACTTGGCTTCGGTTGAATGCAGGTCAACAGTCTCACCGTCTGACCATGATTTAGCTTTTTATTGGTTTAGAATGAGCTCGTAAAGTGGCTTCGTGTGAAACACGGTGTCTCAACTTTATTTAGTCATCTCAGGTTGCTAATTGGACTATTATTATAATATATTATTAATATCTGCTGATTACACTGGAACCCCAGAAATACAGAGACCTGGGAGTAAATGTGTTCTTTGGTCAGTAGCCATGTGCTCTAGTTCACCTGCAGCAGGCCAGGTGTGACAGCCTGCTCCACTTCTAAAGCACATGAAGGTTTAATGAATTCAGTACTGCACAGTTTACATAGTTCTCATGAATATAAACCCAGCACACTACCTCTGATCTCTGTTGTTTGACAGATGGAGACTGGGAGGTGTGTCTCCACTCTCTGCGTCTCCTGCAGTCGGTGTTGTTGGAGGAGGAGGTGCTGCTCCTGCTGGGCTCCTCTCTGCTGGATCCAGACCTCCAGGCTCGTGTGGGCCGGCTCACCTCCAGTGAGCAGCCCAGCCTGAGACTGGCTGCCCAGCAGACCCTAGAGGACCTGCTGGCCCTCCAACAGGTGCCTCAGTCAGAACACATGTTGGTCATATTTCTGGTCCAATTTAATTAACATTTACAATATGTAACAACAATGAATTATTTCACCAATCAATTGGGAACAAACAACAAAGAGAGGAGGGTACTTTACAACAACAACTTGTTTCTCAAAGTTTCCGAGGTCCACCTGGATGCAGCGCGTGCTTCACCGTACAAAGCAACGTTCTGAAGTGGAGGCAGCGGCCGTGGCTCAAATCTCACAATAGTTTGCTGAGAGCTGTTTCCTCTGCAGCCTCCAAACTGTCGCTTTCTGTCAATGAAGTGTTCGTTGTTTACGTACTGTTTGTTGTTTGTCCGTCCTCTTTGACTCCAGCAGTGGTCATGCTGTCTTGCTAAGCTACACTGTGCTGTTGTTTTTTTCTTTGGACGCACTCAAGTAGCATGGAGAAAAAGAAACACTGGGACATTCTGTGGGACAATCTGTGGGACAAATCAGAGGAAGTCGTTTTGGATAAGGCACAAGAAGGGATTAGACACAGAGAAAAACAAAACAAAAACACACATTGGTGGTGGTGGGTTGTCGGATGCGTCCTTCTCTTCCGGCCTCTCACCAAGCCTTAGGTATTCTAGGTATTACTGAAGAAAGAGCAGGACAGCTTCATGTAGACCTGATACCAGACTTCTAGATACTTCTTACACTTTGGTGGAAATCAGGAGGGACAAATCTCTAAGGTCATTGTGCATGAAATGATACGATGTATAAAAGTCCAGGTACAGACAGACGGAGAGAGACAGACAGGCAGACAGAAATAGGCAGAGACAGACAGGCAGACAGAAACAGGCAGAGACAGACAGACAGGCAGACACAGACCGAGACAGACAGACATGAAGACAGAGACCGAGACAGACAGAAACAGGCAGACACAGAGACGGCAGACAGACGGAGACAGATACAGACAGACACAGACGGAGACAGACATGTTTGAAGACATTTCTCCTGTTGTGAATCATAATTCTGTGTCTGATATGGTTTCTCCTCACAATAGTTGTGCTGTCACAAAGGCTGCAGGTAAGTCCATGTGTTAAAGTTAGATGTGACATCACAGTGATGTAACAAGACCTGAGCACAGCAGTGAGGTGAGAGGACCTGAATGATTGGACTGTGAAGTGAGGCAGCGTTTGTGTGTTTTCAGGGTCGGGGGTGTAAGCGGAGCAGCGTCTGATGTGGATCCAGTGTCAGTCCACTTCATCACTCTTCAACCTGTTTCTTTAAGTCAAAGGATGTAAAGTTGCATTTGTTCTCATGATTTTGTGTGAAACCAGGTTTGCACAAGACGCATTAAAGAGGATGTTTGGCCACTTTCAGAGCACTGAGTCTGTTTTCATAGAGACTGTAGAGCAGCAGAGTGAATGAAGAAGAAGACTGTTGGCTTGTAAACATGCTAGATTGTGGACATGTTTGTGAAGCCTAAAGCAGAAACACAGCCCTGTTACACGGTGCATTAAAATGTCTTTTGGCTGATCGCATGGCACTCGACCACATGACCGTACAGGTGTAAATGCACCCAAACTGCTTTGAGAACGGATTGTGATCTGATGGGCCAAACCACCTTCAGAGATGCATTAATAGCAATTCAATGGCACGGTCACACAGTGAGTTTGCTCCTCCACCGTAAAGCGCATGTTCATTTGAAAGCAAATGATAATTTGGTGCATGTGTGACTTTATAGTACAGGTTACAGCAAACACACTTTGAGCAGCTACTTTGTCAGAAATATGAGAATTAAACAGACTCGTCAATAATCTTCTTTAATAATTCTAGTCCTGAGCAAGAAGTTTCCAGCAGCAGAACACAATAAAGGTCTGTAGCCCTGCAGCTCTTCATCTAACACACAAAAACATCCACCGACACAAACGTCTGCTGTCATATGCTGTCACTCAAAAGTTACAATTGTCCATTCTGTGACTGCTTCACAATAAAAGCCATGTTTCCTCATGTGAAGCAGCAGGAAGCGCAGGGTTAACCCAGCTGTGATCAGTCACATCACGTTATCCCTGCTGCATGGTTTCCTGTCAGTGAGTTGAAACCTGATATGAGGAGTAAAGAATCAATCCACACAGGAGTTTTATTTTGTTAATGAAACAGCTTTATTTCCTTAGTATGGACTCCATGGAACAAGGCCTAGACTACAGTACAGGGTATACTGAAGACCAGAGGAGAGGGTTCAGAGAGGCTGCACCACTGATGTAACATCTGGGACATTATCAACCCCACCATAAGTAGAGTCAGAGGGCTCAACAACAATGAGCAGGATGAAGACTTTTCTTTGTTAGGCTCAGAACAATGATACTAATGACAGTGTAAGAAGGATCAACAGGGGAGAGTGAAGGGAGGAGGACACAGCTGTCCATCCCAGAGCCTTCAGGGTGGGGGGGCTGAGGCTGGTCAACCCCCACCACTTGGCCTCTAGGAGGACGCAGCGGCGTTGGGCTTGTCGTCACGGACGACGGGGACACTGCGCTCGCTGCGTCCAGATTCGCTCCCTCCGGTGACCTTTGGTCCGTTCAGAGTCAGCAGACCGTCGGTTGACAAGGTGCAGCTGATTGCTGATTGGTCAACACTGGAGGGGAGGCGGTAGCGGCGGTGAAACTCACGAGCGATGTAACCGTGGTCGTCCTGAAAGACAGCAAGGTGAACGCCACAGTGGCAGGTCAGTCCAAGCAAAGACATTGTGTTCAGGGTGCAGTCCACTAGTTAGTTTGGTTACACTCCTCTGTTAGAATGTATTCTGTCTACTCCCATCATTACCTGAAGCCCTTCTATGTCACTGAGTGGTGTTCAAACTGTTTCATGTCTATGGTAATCTGTGCACAGCTGTGTACCAGTGATGAGGCGCTACCTGTCTCTCTCCGTGCTTGCCCTGGATCTCCACATAGTCATCAGTGACCTTCACACTGAGCTCATCAGGAGAGAAGTGCTTGACGTCCAGGTAGACTGTGTACTTGTCTCTGTCAGACCTCACCTGTGGGACATAAGCACAGAGAGGCTCCATCGTATCAGAACATTGTCCACATGTACAATTTAAAAAAAGTTCAGATGAGTCTCTGAAACAAAGTCAGCATATCAAACATAGTTCAAAGAAATGTGAAGCTAATGAAAGATCAGAAAGTGTCATTGCTATCAAACCTATCAAAGACCTTGATGTTAGCCTCTTGTCTGGAGGCAGAGGAACACGTGGGTTCATCTAACTGTGTCTACATGGGTCTCTTCTCTGTTACCTCAGAGGTGCCGGAGTTAGAAGAATCCAGAAAGCTGCGGAACAGCGACTGTCTGTAATAGGGGCTGATGGTGGAGGTGGTGTAGGGGAAGAAGTCGTAGTCAAACATGCCCTCTCCAAAGAACTGGTCAAAGAGTCGGGCCGGGTAGACGGAGCCCATGGCACGTCTGAACCAAGGGTGCTGGATGGCAATATCCATTGTGACTGGAGACGGTGTGGTCTAGCGTGATCCTGCTCAGCTCAGAGTCCAGCAGGTGGAGGAGGCGAGGTAACGAGAGAATGCTGCTGAACGGAGAGGAGTGAGAGTGTTTCAGGAGGGCTGGTCCTCTGCTCCACAGCTGCCTCCTCTTTATATACCTGACAGCTAGAAAGAGGGGCTTTAGCCGCGATCCCTCTGGAATGGCATTATCTCATGGTGGGTTGGGCCCCGTCAGCAGAATCAGGGTAGAGGATGGGGGGGCACCACTGGGTCCAGACCCTGGTGAGACCCGGTGCCACCAACACACCAGACATGGGCTGCCAAAACAAACGCTGCTGGACGAGGAGGAGGAGGAGGGGGGGAGGACATGGAGAGACAATGAGGTCAGGAAGCAAACCAAAGACAAGAGGGAGTTCACCTGAGTGATCCAACATGTGATCAGTGACACGATGCTGCTGCTTTGTTCTGCCTGTGGGTCGAACACACGGCATATTTACAGACAGTAGGCTAAACAGGGTAACGCACAAATAAACAGATATTCTGTCGGTTCAGCCCTTCTGATATTGACCTCACGTATTTATCTGACAATGAAACTGTTTATCAAATCACAGAGAAGATGTTGGTGTGTTGGACTACAGTGAGACTCCTGTCACGGACACGTCCTTCCTTTATCATGCAGACTGAATAACATTCACAGAGTATCAAACCTTTTATTGGTCTCTGAACTGTTTCTGGAACAGCACACATAAAGCCAGAGCTTTTCTCTACAAGCCCCATCATCAGGGAGGCGTCCTCAGGACTGTCTGTCCAATGTCTTTCAGCTCGGGTAAGTTCAGTCCCAGCGGTGGAATGTAACTCCACTCCACTACATTTCACTGTACTCTTACAAATTAAGAACTATTTCATAAAACTTGAAGTCATTTTTCATGATGTAAAAACATCATAAACCTAATAAACAAGTGAGTATTTGCTGCTTTTCCTTTTAATTATTTAATGATCTCAATTTACTTTGAACACTGTTGAATTGTGTGCTTTTGTTTAAATTGTTTTGTTTATTAGTATAACATTTTGTAGTTGTAATTTAACTTGTTTCCCTTCCACACTTGTACTAACGTATTACAGTGTGGTATCAGTACTTTGACTTCAGTAAAGGATTTGAATTTCGGGGAGTTTGGGTCCAGATCCATCTGGACTACAGCTCTACCTCCGGCTCCTCGGCCACCACACAGGAGACGCTCCACCTCCTCTGTAGATAAATACATAGATACATGGGACCGACTAAACGTTATGTGTTTACAACATGAACACTTGTACAGTCTAATGTCACGGTGTGTAGGTCAGAGCGAAGTCTAATGCAAAGACCAGAGTCACTTCCCATGCCTGTTGTTTCACCACCGGTGGCTTCCCGCCACCTGCATTAGTCTAATCCCACCGGGCTTTGGCCAGCCAGCACAGAGGCTTAGCCGCTCCATGCACCCGCAGCCAAGAGCAACTGGGCCGGCCAGCCGGGGTCGAGCTGTTTCAGGGGCGGTTTGGGGAGCTTGTCGGGTTTGAGGTTACTGCTGCAGACTGGACTTAGACGCTGTAATGGGAAAATATGTCATAGTCTCATGTGAAGGTTTAAAGAATGTAAGTCCTAAAAGTGCAGACACCAAACTGTAGTTTCAGTAGATGACTTTAATTAGTTTAGTATCCAGGTGTCTTGTTATGTTATCATTGTGCACTGTTTCTTTCTTCTTCGTAAGACAGAGACACAGAGAGGCCTTGACTAACAGAGATCCTCTGTTTGAAATACTTTTGACTTCCTTTGTGACGCATTATCTGAAGTTGTAAAGGCGTAAACCTTTGCATGCATATATGATGTGTGAGGGTAAAGAATGTCTATTCTGTCTCTGCAATAGTCATTTTAACAATGTCACAGTGGCTTCAAAGGAAGCATCTGCTGTGTGTTTAAACGGTCTATTGTAAGGCAAACTGTGAACAAAGGGATTTGCAAACAGGAGATAAAGCATCTTCCTGACTGTCTTAAATGAAGTATACTAGGGCTCGAAGGATGACCTGCCTTTTATTGTGTTCTTTGTGTATTCTTGTTAGCTAAGCAGATAACAGGAAGCTGTCTGAGCATAAATGTCCATGCATTGTGACTGTTAGGTAGACCACTCTTACAGATCACTGCAATGTGTCTGTGAGACTGTTCTCTTTGCTTGCAATCAAATAAATTGACTTTACGAACCTTGATCATTCATCAAAACTCTGTTTATTTTACATTGATTGAAAACCTTCACTTTCTTCTCCCAACTAGTCATAAGAAATATTCCACAACAACGCTGTTAGGCTGGCTGCAGTTCAGCGGAGTCAGCATTCTAGGATTCATCAATGGGACAGACAATGCCTGTGTGCTCTGTTTCCACAGCTCGGAAAAGCTGTTTTGGCTGACGACCTGACGGGGGGACGTGCTCAGATTCATTCATAGATTCAAAAGGACAAACATGTAGCAAACAACCTTTGACAACAAGCAGCTTGTTATTGGTGTACCTCCCATTAAAGGTTTGTCAAAGAACTAGATGATATTAGTTCTGGTCTATGTAGGAACCTCGACACATGCTGATGTCCATCAGTAATCCCTCCTCTCCACACTCTTCCTGTCTCCTTTACTAATGTGGAACAGCAAATAGGCTACATTGAACCCAGTGACTTTAGGAACTACCCACAAACTCAGACTGCTGAATACATATTATATCACATTATCTGTGGCTCTGGATTCCGTCTCCCATCATGTCCAGTAGAATTACATTGGGAGAAGAGTACTATCGTCCGTATGGACAGGAGGAACAAATAGTGATTCAAAACTGGTTCATTGTGCATGTGGCTGTGTGACTGTGCTTTGGCTTTTCTCAAGCAGGACTATTCACAAGTAGATGTATATGTATTCACATCACTCTGAGTTCTGCTGCCCTCTGCTGGACAGACATCATATCTCCTCCCTGATCCCAGATAGATCCCAGACTGATCGGTGTATTGATGTTATTGTATGTTTAATTTTCTGATGCTTTGGCAATACGGTTTGTAAACGGTCATGCCAATAAAGCAACATTT